AAGATCGAAAGACAGAAGGTCGAAAGACAGAAGGTCGAAAGACAGAAGGTCGAAAGACAGAAGATCGGAAGAAAAATGATCGAAAAACAGAAGGTTGAAAGACAGAAGGTCGAAAGACAGAAATTCAAAAGACAGAAGGTCGAAAGACTGGAGGTCGGAAGACAGGAGGTCGGAAGACAGCCCAGCTAACAATTTTCGTAATATAAACGCTTTACTCTTTTCAATTATACAGCCTCAAGCTGTATTCAAATGTTATATGATATGAGGAAATCTTTACTCAACCTCTATACAAGCAAATCTGGCGAACTTAGTCAGCTACTTGAGGCTGTTTGAACGGTTGGGGCAAACTCTTATTGCATATCCATTAACGCTTCTATACAGCTGTTATCCTGCTGTTGAGTTATATGTGAACTTGAAAGGTGCTTACTCAACCTTTACCCGATTATCCAATAATCACTACACAGCTTTCTCTTGACGCCAGGTTAAAAATTGTTTACACTTTTTTTGTTGGAGGAATTTATTTTTCTGCGAATCAAATTAATCGAAATAAGTTATAATAAGCAACACCACCAAATTAATAACACTGTACCGGAGAACCTGGAATCGAACTCGAGACGACCGCATTGGTGAACCTTGATACTACCAACTTCGCTACGCCAACACTTTGAACTGACGTAAACAAATTTACATGTCCTTCTACAACAAGGTCGCTGAGTAGAGGCTTTATAATAATGCACATGGATCATTTTTCTTGACTAGTTAATTCAGCTTTGTAAAGAAGCAGAGCAAAAGCTGTAAAACTGCACAAGTCTAAAAATAAATCTAGTTGACTGTAAATTAGCTTTCAAAGTAGCGCTAACACAGTTTATTAGTTGAGTACAGATTGTTTAGTTGTTGAAAAAGCACTTTGGATGTTTATGTTAATCAGCAAGAATGGTTGGTTGTGTAGAAGCCGTAAAATAAGTAATATTTTCGCTATAATAGCTTTGTTTTGAAGCTAAAAGTTGAAAGTTGATTAATATTGGCATAGAAGTGACATTAGACATTAATGATAAAACTGGAATACTGACATTATAATCTTCATCCATGATATCATAATACCGTTTCAAAAAATTGTTATTTTATATCAATATGCAAAAATCGAAATAAATTCATTCTTCTAGAGATAATTTTAGGTGGATTATTCAAAATACACAAAAATTTTCGAGTACTCTAGTAAAGGGTGTCAACAGTTAAATTGCATCACTTAGAAGTACTCGCCAAAAATAAGTCTCACAACCGATTGTCATGAAATTTTCTGGGAATGTTGTGTGATTTGAGAAACGAAAGCAGCCGTTTCTTCAGGCACTCATTCATGTAGACTTGAACATTTACGATTGTAGTTGTTGCAACAAATTGCCTGCCAAGTCATGATTTTTTTGGGAAACTTCGACACATGCTGTTTCCTGAGGGACTCTGAAACATCGAACTTATCTTTCGCAGTCACATACTGGTTGAAGTCCGCCTTTACGCATGTTTCATCGTCCATGATACAGCAGTGTGGTGTTGTCAACATTTGTGTGCACCGCTTCGGCCCGTGTATGTTTGAATGGGTGCGATATCCTACGCAGGTGTGGACGCTACCTTCCTGCACATTCGATTGCCGTCAAAGGATGGCAATCGTTGTCCGTCGGTGATTGGCACTAGATTGCGGAACAGAAACCGACGTTAAATAAATGAAAGAAAAAGAAGTGTACAGCTTACGTGCCCGCGTTCTTATTCTGTCGTTTATTGCGGTTTGGTGCTTTCTGAACCTTGAAAGTCCTGTCATTTCTTGGCTTTCTGCACGAAACTTTTTGTCAGGTGCAGTTTTTTCGCGACATCCCGAACGGGTTTGCATTTGAAGGCAGCAACCACTCGCTTGTGATCTTCAACGCAGTACGGAACACTTTTTCTTGCACTCACTTGCTTCCGATCGACAGTTACACGTTCTCCGAAACGTTTTATGAAACATCAACATCTTTCCGATGGCTCGGTGCGAAAGATGTGGGTTGTTGAGGTGAGTGTGCAAAATTTTCACACGCTGTTCTTTCGAATCCATTTTTAAAACTACTCGAAATTTCACAATGAAACTCACGCAGTGTGAACAATACACACGGAGGCCATCTCACCCAAAATTTCATTAAAATTAACCCGAAGGGCAAAATGTTACAGCTTTTTTAAAGAGATGCATTTTAACTGTGGACACCCTTTAACCACTTTACTCTTCGTTTATCTCCTTATTTAATGGTCTGCTCGTTTTTGTCCGGTTAGGAGTTTTTGGTATTGAAAGTTGAGTAATGTTTGACAAAAATTGTTTATAACTTATCAAATATTGATGATAGTAAGTGTTAAAAAAGTTGCGTAATTGGGTTCTTCAATTTTGAAAAATGTATTGGTTCTTATACATCTTCTGAAAGAGCTTCGTTTTCAGAGCACAACGATATTTTTTCGGACCCATAGACTTTTATCTCGGTTACAAAACTAACAAACTGACAGCTCGATCCCATAAAAAGTTGATCCGAGGGGTGCTGAGATGGTAATTTTTACTAATGTAATCGTATTTATTTATAATAACTCAACTGTATCAAAATTGATGAAACTTTGGATTTCGGTTCCATTTTTAATGCAGAATATGAATATGCATTTACCCTTAGAGAACGCAATTTTTCAGTTAAATATGTATATGTAGAAATTTCAAGTTTGTGAAATAATATCAGAAAAACGTTACAGGGATCAGTGTTGGGAAATTATCAAAAAATCAAATCTCTTCAATGCCCAAGATCACGCTTGATTTTCGTAGACAAAAATCAAACAACAAACAACTGCGGTTGAGTTTGCAAGCAGTGATATCGCAGCTCGGAATATAAAGTTAACAAAACTCACCAGCTGCAAATTTCAACAACCTTTGGTGAGATTGAATTTCATGATTTTTGCTTAGCACCCGAACGCAACCGAAACTTCTATAACGGCTGACAGCAGTCACTTCGTGTCTGTCATCGGTGGCATTTCATAGTAATTCTCATACAAACTTTAAATGGTTTGTGCCATCTCAGTTTCTCACCAAATGGGTTCAAATTTTGAGAGGTTAGTCAGGATCCGATTTGGAATCGTTTAAGTATTGTGGAGTGAAAATTTCAAATTTTGGATCACTCTAATGGATATACAGCTTCTCTATCGCAACTACTAGCATAAATTTTGCCACATATCTACGCAAATAAGACCATGAAAATTTATTTCAAATTTGTGTTAGTCACTAGGGCCAAAAACTGAAGCACTAGTGCCAAAACTGGCACCCTTACCCTACATTAATGTCGAATAAGTTTTACCATACCAAGAAGGGAGTTTTGCCATACCAAGAAACATTCCTGAAGGCATCAAACCTCTACAATCATCCATTTCAGCGCAAATAAATAAACGCCATTTTTGATATCCCTCCCTGGCACCACTCTGTGTGCCGATTCCATTGCCCCTGTCCTCAACTATTCTGGTAGTGATTACCGGCTCCCGTCGAAATCATTGATGCAGAAATGCGATGGCAACTTCTCCACAGTTCATGGCATTTCTGAAGAATTGATAACAGGTTGATAAGGTTGTGGTTGGTTGGGCCCTGGCCTGGCAATTCCAGGTACGAGGCCGATTGAATCCAGTTTAAAGAACTAAGCTGGGGTAATCACCAATTTGCCAGTGTGCCATAACTGCTATACTTCAATCTGTGTAGAATTCCGTGGGATAGGGATATAGGATCAGGGTCATCTTCCAACCTCTTACTTTTACAGTTTGTATTCAATTTACTTCGGTGATCACACAGGTTTCAATTCAATCATAAATGCAGTCCAGTTTCGAAATTTATGCAATTTGAAAATAAGATTGTGTAGTGTACCCTAGCCCTGACTAATCTGTCAAAAGAATCCAATTTGTGCAGGTGGAATATATTTTTTTTTGAAAAACCGATTAGGTTCAAATTCAGGAAAAAAAAATGTCACAAGATTGTTCCATCGCGCACATCAAAGAACTGCCACATCACGTTCGTCAACGACCGACAACCGGGCATCCATCCATCTGCCGTAGGTCCATCGCGGTGTGGCAAATTGCAATCATCAACCGTCAACATCAGCCGCAATGATTGACGTGTCAATTTAACCATATTCAAGGAGGGGTAACCATTTATTGGATTGCGCAGCAGGTTATTCAGAGTAGGCTCGGTATACTGGCGATGGCGGGTTCGATTCTCGGCCCGGTCAATTAATTACAAATGGAAGTACTCCGGAAATAAAGAATAGGTATATGTTCCAGTGGTAACATTATAAGCAAAGAATAAGATGAAAGGCTAATATACAGTGACATTTTCTATCTGCGTTCGAGGTACATACATAGCCACATACAGTCCGATTCATGGCATTTGAATCAATCGCCTTGCAACGGAAGAGCAATCAATTTTCGATGTCTGTGTCGATCACAACGACGACGACGACGACAACGATTTTGAATATTCTGTATTGGAATGATGACGACGATGATTTGGATAATTTTATTAATTGCCTCCCAAAGCGCCACCTACCGTGTCGACTGGGATCGACATTTTCCGGGTTTTATTCGACGTTTTTTGCCTCGCGTTGATTAACTGTTGTCTGAGTAAAAAGTGCGTAGTTGTGCGTCTGCTCTGTTCAATTAATAATAAAAATGATTTGTCAGCACCTCATTACGACCCACGCGGGGCCGCTTTCGCGAATTTATTGAATTGTGATCGGGGATTCATTGTTGTTCGAGTGTTAATTATCCGAAACCACAAAGATTACCCGAAAAGGATGAACGTTTCGACTAAAGTGTGTGTGTGTTTTTTTTCATTCCAGGCTTGGTCCATGTGAACTTCCACTGCCGGACCAGTGGCTCGTCCATGCACAGCTCTCACAATCATCTCAATCGTCACAACAATATTCATCGTCGTCGCAAGCCAGTGGCCCGAGTTTGGGATTGGGTGGACTGCCGTTACAACAACAGTCATCTCAGCAGCAACATTCCACCAGTTCCCAGCAACCGTCAGCATCACAGCAACAGCAACTGCAGCCGAAAATAATGAACGCGGTAGTTCCGGCCGTGTCGGTTCCGGCAGCAACCAAAAAGATTCGTAGAAAACCAGATACTAAGGTTGGTAGAAAGCGTGGCGAGCCTGAAGGGCAGCAGGGTTAATCGTTGTTCGTAATTAATTACAGCCACAATCACAAATCAACAAGTGCAACAACGAGAAACGCCGCCGGGAGCTGGAGAATGAGTATATCGAACAGCTCGGCGAGTTTCTACAGATCAACAAGCGGGATATGACCGCTTGTAAGCCGGACAAGGCAGCGATACTCAGTGAAGTGGTGCGAACGGTGAGTTTGATTTCATGTTCTTCCGTGAACTAGTGGCTATACGTTATTTCGGATGGACCATCTGCATTATTTTTTGAATAGATTTATACCACGAACAAATGTTGCTGTGTTCATTCATTTAGTCAATGTGTTGGTTTGATTGATCGATTAGATTTTGTTTGGATTTTTTTTTGTTAAGTAGTTCATCGGTTCTCAACCATTTTTGAGTGACGTTACGTACGGTACCCCTTGGCAAAGAGTCGTCAAAAATTGTTCCCTTTGATTTTTAATGTCGATGATTGAGTTAGTTATTTCAGCTACTTTATGTCGATGAATACCTGTGTTTTGAACTTCATGACCGACGAAGAATGTTTCGAAACTTCAGTGAAAATTTGCAAAACTTGTATAAACTTTTCTTGTCTATTAGTTTGAGTTTTGGTTTGTCTTAATAGATATCCCTAGTCGTTTTTGTTTATCAAAATTGTTAGTTTCATTACATGATTCAACATTTCAGCCGTTTAGCGTATTTTGCGGTTGACTGACTGAGAAAGTACTATACAGTACCGGACATCATCCTTATCTTTTTTTCATAATGCTTTATGAGTAAGTTTTCTATCTGTTCTTATGTTAATTTGAATCAGCTACAACTTTGCTGAAGACTACTTTTTGATTGAATTATTCATGAATCATATCGTCAGGTCAATTTCAACAGAGATGCCGCTGTTCCGCTGGTAGGAAGAGTTAAAAATCCCCATATAGAAATTGAGAGAAGCGGGAATAATTCGCTTTTGGTGCATATTCAGGTCAGGGACTTTGTCGTTCAGTTTTTTTCCCGGAAATAAATAAATAAAAAAAAACAATTAAATAAAAATTATTTTTCCCCATACAGTTTAACCTGCTTTACTACCAGTCCTCAGAGAGCCAAAAAATCAAATTTGAGAGAGAAAATTCTCTCTCACGACCTCTATCTCTCAACATGCCATGTATTTTGATGACACTCAATTTGTGATTTCCCTTTCACAGATTACAAAATAGAGTACCTGACACTACAGAACATGTCTGGTACTTCTATATATGCATTTAGATTATCATTCGAAGTCCCTTCTTTTTTACATATTCTACACAAAAGATACCCCATTCATAAAAATCGGCGGGAAATTCTGTGAGGGGTGAGCTATTTTGTGTGCAGAATGTTTTAAAAAAGGAGGGACTTCGAATATTAATCTAAATGCATATATAGAGGTACCAGACATGTTTTGCACTGCAGTGTCCTCTGTGAAAAATTAACGGAAAACAGATTGTGTGTAGTTTCCGAAAGATGTCACCGCAAACAACAGCAGTGACATCTGATGGAACATGAATTCAGAAGCTTGACAAAATCATTAATTGTTTGGTATTCCAGTTTTAAACATCTTATCCTATCTAAAATTTAATGATGTATGTATGTTTTTCCTGTAAAGCAATTATTTATTCCAACAACTTTGTCTCAAACTTCATTTCGATTGGAAATATCGTTTTCGAGCTACGATTTGTTGAAAAGTATCGAATGCGTAATTTTGATTTTTTTGTTTTCAAGATTCAACATGGCCGAATTTTTGCTCAAGTGTTAATTATTTATCATAACAAACTATTATGCAAAGTTTTATAAAAAAATAAACAGAGAAGGTCGTGTCAGATCTATTCGCCATTTAACGTGTAACTGCTCATTTGAAGTTCAAAATCAAGATGAAAATGAAAATGGATAATGAGATAGGATAGGATAGAGAGAATGTGGTCATGTCAAAATTCAAACTCATGCGAATTCATCGTTAAGGGTTACCTTGATTTTCTGCTAATTTGAGTGTAGGAGAAATTATTTTTATCAGCACTGATCACAACCATGTTCCATTGAACGCATGGAAATAATTAACTTTTTTAAATATAAATTGAGCCTTTCGTATGGTTTTTGTTTTGCGTATCCCCTTAAGTGCCTCGTGTACCCAAATGGTACACGTATCCCAGGTTAAGAACCACTGAATTTTTTGATCTTTTTTATGCCAATTTGCAAACCTCAAAATAGGCATAATATTCCAGTATTTGAAAATAATCCAAAAGCATTGTTTAACTTTGGATATTGATGAGAATTATGAACAAGAATTGAGTATTAAAAGAGAATTCCAGCAGGGCCGTTGTAACCATTCCTGAAGGCCTGGCTTTTGTTTGACTTCGGTACCCTTAAGGTTTGTTACCAATTTTCGATTTTTCACAGGCTTGAGGATTTTGTCGACTACTGATAGATATGTAGATAAGTCAAATAATATCATTCCAAATTATGTTGATCAGAACTTTCTCACTATGTGGCGCTTGTGTATATGTGATGTTCCAAAATAAGCAATAAATCATAATTTAAACCTCCCTAGAAAGTTACTGTCTTCAAGCATTAGCGCTGGGTAGTGAGAAAATTCTGAACTGCTGTCCACCAATCAAATGGGCTTGACTCTCTGAACATAGATGGTCAGAATCTTGAGTCATAGTTTATGCAGTAACTTCACATGTACATTAACGCCACTTAGTTCAACAATTCTGAGCTGTCCACAAATCGAGTGGACTTTACCCACTGAACAACTTTGCCGATGACAGCCACTTCCCAAGTGGTCAGAATGTTTAGTTATAGTTTATTCAAAAACTTCTCGCCACATTATTCAAAAATGTGGGACAGCTCTCCACCAACCAAATGGATTTGACCCTCTGAACAACTTTGTCCAAGACAGTATCATCCTAGGTGGTCAGGATGTTATGTTATAGCTTAGTCAAGTCGTGCAAAAATGTTGAATTGCTGTTCACCTATCGAATGGGCTTGACTCCCTGAACAATTTTGCCCAAGACAGTAACTTCCTAGGTGGTCAGAATCTTGATTTATGGTTTATTCAGGAACTTTGCATGTACACTAGCGCCACTTGGACCAAACATTCTGAGCTGCTGTCCACTAACCAAATGGACTTGACCCCCTGAATAACTTTGCCCAAAACAGCATAACCATTAGACTGATGCAAAATTTGAAAATTTCAAACGAATCCATATTAGCCTTCCACAGACTTCTGAGGAAAGTCGGTGAAATCTCTGTAAGAATTTGGATAAATTTTCCAGGAGAGGCCACAAAAACATCTTAGAAATTCGAAAGACAATTACAGAGGAAGCAAGAATCTTCCAAGCAAGCTTTCAGGTGAAGCTGAAACGAACTTTTGGTAGAACTCGAAGACAGCAGTTGGAAGTTCTGGAAAACATCGAAGGAACTTCCAGGAGAAGTAGGAATAAACTTTAAGTTGTAAGAAATTTCCGGGGAAACTTGGAAGACGCTTCTAGGCGAAATTGGTAGAAACTTCTAAACTAAATCTGATGGAACTTTCGGGAAAGACAATACAAAGCTTTCGAAAGAAGTTTCCATAAATATTCAAAGGAAACACGGGAGACTGCCGAAAAAGCTAACTAATTAACGATTCCCGGGAATTCCCGGAATGAGCCATCAGCTGTTTCCCGATTCCTGGGTGGCCAAAAGTGGCTGGGAAATAGAAATATCATGAGCCGGCACTCCAATTTGGGGACCCTGACTTTAGCGCACCTTAGCCCTACCGTAAAGATGGCCCTGAAGTCAAGGGATAAATTCCGAGGAGTTCTAAGAAGAAATGTGAGGAGAACTCGTGATGAATCCTAAGGAGGAGCTAAATTTTGATCTAAGTAGAATTCGATGGCAATTTCAAGGAAAATTCCATCTTGGGGATTGTTAGGAAAATTACTAATATGGATTCCAAGGCTATTCGAAACGAAATTGAAAGAGTATTCTGATGAGGAATCTGGAAGGATTTCCAACAATCAATTTGATAGATAAAGAGAGAATGATTAGTAATTTCCAATTAATTCCACTACCTTATTTGCTTATCCTTGACAGATACGCGTATTTCGTCTACAGATACAGACACTGAAGAAGTCTGCACATTGTGGGCGAAGTACGCGTACCTGTCAAGAATAAGCAAATAAGGCAGTGAAATTAAATGGAAATAAAATACAAATCCTTCTCTCTTTCGTTATACCCCAAGTAACAATTTTGGTTTTATGAGGGTTCTGTAGACCATAAATTGGACTTGAAGAACGCTTTAAGACCTTGATAAAACTTGCAATGTTACTTGGGACAAGTATTCCACACTAAACCACTCATCTTCATCAGGAATCCATTTAAGCCGATTAAAGGCTGAAAAAGCTATTTTTTTTAGCAGAAGAAGCATATTTTTGCCTGAATAAGCTCTTGCTTGTTGGGTTGATAGAAAATTCTAAACTTGTAATTCCAAGGGAAACCATTTGTAAAAACATTTCCAAAGGAATTCTGAGGAGAATTTCAAAGAATTTCCAGTTGCATTATCATAGGGTGTTCAAGAGAAGAATACAATGACAATTCTGAGGATTTCAAAGGGAATTCAGAAGATAGTACCAAGGGAATCCTAAGGATAATACCGTACCGTGAGATACTAGGCTTTTTTTTGTATTGATAATTTTATCCGTTACATTGCGAATTTTACATATTTATAACATCATCCTGTTAACATATGCATAAATATTTACCAGAGGTTTTCTGAAAGACTATTCTACCTTTCCATCGTCTCTCTCCAATCAATTTCTTGAATACGAACGAACTCAAGCGGAGAGTCACTCAGCACATTGTGCCGAAATTAGATTCGGCACAGCTTGGGCACATCCATAGGCACACCTTCAGCACAATCTCGTTGGCATTGGATTGTTGTAAATAAAATGGGAGCACTGCTGGACAACTGTCATTGAAGTTGTTCACAACATTACGTGCTGTTTGACTATATATTCAGGAACACCCTCTAATTGAATATACCATAGGAACGCAAACCAGCAGTTCACTTATAGATCTAAATACGAAATGTAGGTTCTAGAGTGGGCTCAAGAGAAAGAGGCAGTTAATCAGACCTTATTAGTACCCTTAATTCAAATAATGCTTCAACTCACACAAAACAAACTAAAGA